GGGGTGCCTGTTTCACCACCCCACAACCCCCTGGTTGTCGGAGCGCGTCTGGGCCGTGTGTGTGGGGTGCGGGCTTCGGCTTCCTCCTGGCTCTCGGGTGGCTGCCCGGCGTTTGGTACCGAAAGCTGGCTTTGTGCGCTCTGCCGGCGGCGGGGGGCTGTGTGTCGCCGGTCCCCGCGTGGGAGTGGGTGCGGGCAGCGCGTGTTCCCCGCCCACTCGACGGGAAGGGGTGCCCAGCAGAGCCCGCGGGTCTGTGGGGTGCCGCGTCGGGGCTGTGCAGCCACACCGTGTCCCCGAGCGGGCTTCGGGAGGCTTGTTTGCTGAGCTGCGGTTTGCAAAGGCCAGTGGAGACGCAGGATTTCCGTGAAGATGGAATTTGCTGTGGCCCTTGGAGGAGAGGATGGATGAAGGGACGTGAGGTGTGAGGGCTGGGGATGCGTTCCCTCTTCGTTGCTGGCCCGGCATCTTCCCAGCTGCTCTCCAGAGGAGCAGGCAGGCAGCTGAGCAGGTCACCCAGTAGCTCCAAGCAGGTTGCCTCTCTGCTCTGGGGTGCCTGGGTCCCCCAGATCCCACCGCCTGCCCCTCTGGGCTCTGGAGACTGGCTGATGGCTGCAGTGCCTGCACATTCCTCTGGGGTCTTTCCCTCCCGCCTGCAGCTGGTTCCTCCCAGGGCTGCCCCTCCAGAGCCCAGGGGAGCCCAGAGCAGAGCAGGCAGCCCCTGGCAGAGCTGAGGGTCCTGCTGTGTCCTAGAGAAACTGGGTGGTGTTAGGAACTGCAAAGAGCTGTACTGTGACCTGTCCTGGCTTAGAGGGTGACAGCAGGACAGGGGGACATCAGGTGGCCCCGTGGGGCTGGAGCCAGAGTCAGCAGGGGAAGGGAAGCGCAGTCCTGGTGTGTGCTCAGTGCTCTGCCCCAGGTGACACCCTGGGCAGCCCAAAAGCTGGGGTATGCTGTCCACAGCAGTGTCCCTGTCACTGCCCAGGACGGGGGCATGCAGCAGGATAGCGTGGACAGGCACCCTGCCTTTGGGACAGTGAGCTCCCAGCCAGTGGGAGGTGGGTAGTGTTGGGACGTGTCTCCAAGCCTGCCAAGGTGCCCAGGCTTCTGTGGTGGCCCGGGACTGCTCTCTGGTGTTTCTGGGACAAGTTCAGCTGTGCAGCCCTGCTGCCCTCCAGACTGTGGCTGTGGTCACCCCAGACTTTTGATCCTATGGGATCCCAGCAGGCAGGGAGTTAAGCGGGGGTGTTGGGGCTCCCCCAGTTCATGCACACACACTCCTGACACCCCAGGGCTGCCAGGAAGCAGGAATAGTGGAGCAGGCCCATCCAGGCAGTCAGGATTGCGAAAGGGCCAGTGCTGGGCTGTGCGTGCTGGGGCCCTGGGGAGAAGGGGAGGGATGGATCTGAGCATGTGAAGCCATGGGACCCACCAGACCTTCTCCTACTCCGAGTGCTGGGGACGCGACCCCACGCTCTCAGGGATGTCCTGTTGTGGGCCTCGGCAGAACGTGACTATGTCATCCCTTAAACTTCCCAAGGAAGGATAAACAGAGGGAGCTTCTTCCTCCTTGTGCTGGCAAGTTTCCCAGGTCTTCGGTCACTTGAGCTGCTCTTCTCTGAGTCCTTCTAGTTGTCAGTGCCTGGGTTGCTCTGTGTCCCCATGTGTGTCCAAGGCCTCTGTTAAGAGAACATGTTGCAGTGGCGCCCGCCATGGCCCAGCTGCTGTGGCCTGGGATGTCATCCCCGTGGCGCGGGGACGCCCTGCACGTGGCTGCCCTAACACACTCTGATCAAACACGCCGACTTGCCAGGGGCAATGGTTCATCAGAAGCTGCCCCTTCCCAAGATTTGTTTGCCCTTCATGGGGGGACAGACCAATACCCCCTGGGTGTTTGGTGAGTGCTGAATGGCAATTCAAGTTGGAACAGCCCTTGGGAGCCAATATCCCCCCTGGGCTCTGGGCACCCCTCATCAGCACCACTCAGCCCCTCCAGCATGGCTGAGCCTCTCCAGGAGGTGCAGCCCCTGTGCAAGATGCTGTCAGGGGAGCAGAGCAATAGTGGGGGGGCACAGGAGCCACCATGGTCCATTGGGACAGGCAGAGCTGGTGGGGCTGGCATGGGAGCAGGTGAAGAAGTGCCATGGCTCCTGCTGCTGTGCAGGGCTGCCCTCGGCACCAAAGGGTCCCTGTGGCCATGCCAGCCTCGGCAGCATGGTGCTGAGGCCAGGGCTGTGCGGGGAGCCTTGGGGTTTCAGCCCTGGATGCCCGGCTGCCAGCGCCAGCTGTGCCGCGGGCCGGGATGTGGCTCTGGGCCCTGTGCACGCCCGGCCGGGACATTCCTGAGGTTTCCTGGGCAGTGGGGAGGCCCCGGGCTGCTCTCCGGCTCCCACGCCCAGCATTCGCTCAGGGCCAGCCCGTCCTCCCGAGCCCTTTCCACTTGCAGCGTGAGGGCTGCTGTGTGTCTGAGCCGGCTTGTGTGCCGGGGTGGGCACGTTCGTCACGGCACAGGCCAGCTGGCGGCTCTGGCAGGAGCCCCAGTCCAAGAGGAGACTGTCCCTGGCTGGGGCAGATGAGGCTGGGCAGGACTGTGCCCAGCTCCTGCTAAACCGTGCGGTGGTGGCAGCCAAGGGACACACCTGGACACCCTGTCCCTGTCCCAGGAGATTCCCCTGCCCCTCCGCAGGTGCTGGCTGGCTGTGCCAAGGCTGTCTGCACCTCTGCCTTTCGCCGTCGCCAGGGGATGTGTGCAGTTCCTGCAGATTCCTGCTCCTCCGAAAGCACCGGTGCTCATGTCCTCCGGCTGTGCTGCTCGTGGCACCAGCTGTCCCGTGTGCTAACGGGGTGGGAGCCATCACCCTGCTGGGATCCTTGCTTTCAGCAGGAATAGCCCGTGGAGGCTGGGCAAAGCGGTCCACCTTCCCCTGGCCAGAGACAGGAGGGAGACGGGAAATCTCCCTTGGAACTCTTGTGCTGCTTGGTCATCCCCTCCAGGGTGGAGGGACACCTTCCCAGCTTGTCTGCCCCAACCCTGGCAAGGACCTTCTGCCCTCCTGCCCTGCCAGGACTGGGGTCCCTTAAAGCTGGATCGGGGTGGAGGGAAGGGGCCCCAGGCTGAAACCGGGAGATGCTGTGTGGGGATCAGCCCCATCCGCCCGTCCCGCAGCTCCCCGGGACGGCCCCGCCGGGGCTGGGGGTGGGCTCCCCGGGATCCAAGCCTGCCAGCAGAGCGGGGAAGTCGGGCAGCGTCACACGGCTGGAGGAGAGCAAACGTGCTGCTTGGGTTTCAGACCGTGGAAAAAGTGATCTGGACAATGAGAGCCCTGTTAGCCTGACCTCCCTGGCACATGGGCTCGGAAGCTCGTTCAGAGAAGGAGATAGTACGGAAA